AAAAAAAAAAAAACTTAAGGTTTAACAAATTAGAGGAACTTTCTGATTTTAACATTTACATTATTGGGTAATGACAGTAATATTGTAATTATTGATCTCATATAATGCTAAGTTAGAGAAACTGAGTGAACAGTGTGAGACACACATGTAGAACTCTGGTATGCCACTGTGTGTGGGGTGGGGGAAGAGAGAGAGAGAGAGAGAGCAGGGAGAGAGAGCAGGGAGCTGGGAGCAAGGCTGGTACACAGAATGGACCAAAGCAATAGTCTTCTAAAGAAGTTCCACATCATTTTCAATGTCTGTGTGCAGACCCGGTACTTCCTGCAGCCCTGGCATTGGCACAGGCTGTTGAAACTCTCCATCTCCTGCACACACAGCTGGCCTGCCTTCCTGTAAAGGCGGTGGAATACAGTGCTTAGGAGCACTGCCAGCTGACCAGCTCCACTCACAGGCACCACCCAGAGAACCTGAAGCAAATTAAGGGACCTGTGAAGGCATCTTATGTTCTTTTTAAATCTGAAGAAAAAAGTTTTTTAGGTTTTTAGAAAGTTTTTATTAATCGATTAATCTTTACAATATGATAGAGAGAGAACACTCAGCCCTTTTCCCTCCTTGGTATTAAGGCTTGAACTCAAACTCACCCTTAGCTTTTTCAACAAGGCTAGAGCTCTACCCAAGGAGTCACAGGTCCACTTCCAGCCTTTTGGTAGTTAATTGAAGAAGAGAGTAAGTTAATTCACAATCCTCAGATTGCAGCCTCCTGAGTAGTTAGGATTACAGGCATGGGCCACCAGTCCCCAGCCAGTATTTCGGTTTTGAAATAGAATCTTCCTTACTTTGCTGAGACTGGTTTCCAATTCGAGATCCTCCTAACCTCTGCCCCTGGTGTAGCTGGTATTACAGGTGTAAGTCTGTAATCTTTTATCATTTCTGGTTTTCACGGAGCCTGATTAATTTTTAGTATCTCTGTGTTGCAAGAGGCCTAGAAAGGCAAAAGTATTGGGAGCCCACTGTTGAATTCACGGTCGACCCCTGCACCTCTTTCTTCTCCCTCCCTTGCGGTACCAGGAGCTCCAAAGCTACCGGGCAGGCAGCCCAGGTGAGGTCAGCGTAGAAATGGATGCTGCACCAGGACTGGACCTCACGGGGATCCTCAACGACATGAGGGCGCAGTTTGAAGCCGCCGCGGAGCAGAATCGGAAGGATGCAGAAGCCTGGTACCTGGAAAAGGCAAGCCAAGAGACCAAAGCTTCTGATGCACTGGCAGATGAAGGTGAGTGGGCTGGGGCGCTCACCCCCTGAATCCCGCCCCCCACGTTGCCATTGCAGAGCGGGGAGCTCAGGAAGGAGATCAGCAGCAACACCGAGCAGCTGCAGTCCAGCAAGAGCGAGATCAGCGACCTGAGGCGCGAGCTCCAAAACCTGGAGATTGAGCTCCAGTCCCAGCTGGCCATGGTAGGCTGTGGGACGCCGCCACGAGTCCTGGGCCAGGGCGGGCACCCCCGTCGCAGTGTGCTGCCGGCCACGCGCTGCGCTCCCCTGCCGTCCCTCACTGCTTGCTTCCTTCCTTCGTGCAGAAGAAGTCCCTGGAGGAGTCCCTGGCCGAGACCCAGGGCGACTACTGCGGCCAGCTGTCCCAGGTGCAGCAGCTGGCGGGCGACCTGGAGGAGCAGCTGCAGCAGGTGCGCGCCGACGCGGAGCGCCAGAGCGCGGAGCACCAGCGGCTGCTCAACGTCAAGGCCCGCCTGGAGATGGAGATCGAGACCTACCGCCGCCTGCTCGAGGGGGAGGCCGAGGGGTGAGTCCCACCCGGGCTACAGTAGGCCTCTGCGGTAGGAGGAGAAGGGGGACTCTTCAATATATAGAAAATAGCAACCCCTGCTGCGGGGAGTGTTGGTGCATTGATGACACTGGGGAAGTTGAGGAAAGGAGAGAAAGCAAGGGAGGGGAAGTGGGGAGGGTGGAAGGGAGGAGGAAAAGCAAAGAAAATAATAAAGGAAAAAAAAAGAAAGAAAGCAGGGAGGGAGGGAGGATGGAAGGAAGGGAGGGGAAAACAAATCTAGGATACACATGCCTAGAACTTACTAAATTACTGTGCAAAGTGTTGTCACACATTATCTTACTTGATAATAATTAATAAAATGCTGCAATGAACAAAGGCACCACAGACTGAAGTTTATTGCATGTTCCTTTTAAAAAGAATCAGACCATTTGATGATCTGGTGCTAAAGAGGTCACATCAAGCAGGAATCATTCAGATTTGTCATAGCAAACCTCCCAAAAGTCATAGTGCTCTGGATTGGAGGGGAGGACGTCAGGATTGGTGCCTGGGACATCCAATTTCTAGGACCAGGTCTTCCGCTGATTGCCAGGTCCCTTCTCTTCCAAACCAAGGCACGGTTTGGAAATGTAGGTTGGCAAGCCATCTGTTTTGCTGTTGGACTATATCCCTCCACAAGAAGTCTGGGATCCCTTATCTGTTTTGTCATAGCTTCATAGGATTTTTTTTCTAATTTTTAGTGCAAATAGCAAATTCCCCTCTCGTTTTCTCATTTGGATAAGCATCAACCCAAGGTCATATCTCATTGTTTTTGTTACAGTGCTGAATTCGATGAAAGCTTGCTTGTGTTGAGCAACAAGTCTCAAGCCGGATCAATTGATTCCTCTAAAGGTATTTAGATAAGAGCCACTGACAAGAAGTCAGGTTCTCACGTAGTCATGTAAAACTCGCAACTCTTATTGTAAAGATCAGTACTGATAGCATAAAGCAGTGGTGTATTCTTGCAGCAAAATGAATAGTGTATTAAAAAATTTTTGTCAGGCCCAGGAGGGAAGAAAAACCATTATACAAAGAAGTATTAAAGAGCAGCACAATCATTTTTTGAAGTATTGTTTAATGTACTGGGTGTGATGGTAATCCCAGCACTTGGGAGACTGAGATAGGAGGATCAGGAGTTTGAGGCCAGACTCAAACTTTGATGTCCTGTCTCAAAAAAAAAAAAAAGGAAAAAGAAAGAAAATCATTTTATTCCTACAGAGGATAATGCTGAGTAAGGGTCACTTTCACTGGATAAAGCTATTAAAAAAAACATAGAAGTTACTTTTGAAAGTTTCAATTTGGTGGATTGTATTATTCACACTCAATTCAGAAGCTTCAACAATAATCAATTTCAGATTAATATTTGAAACACTAGCTGGGCGCTGTCGGCTCACCAGTAATCCTAGCTAACCAGGAGGCTGAGATCCAAGGATCATGGTTCAAAGCCATCCCAGGCAGGAAAGTCTGTGAGCCTCTTATCTCTAATTAATCACAGAAAAAGCCAGACGTAGAGCTATGGCTCAAGTGGTAGAGCATTAACCTTGAGCAGAAGCAACTCAGGGAGAGTGCCCAACCCCAGAGTTCAAACCCCAAGACCAGAAAAAAAATGGAACACTAATGTACACCTTCTTTTATTCAATGTTTATCTTTAGATCCACATAAGACCCGAAAAATCAAGACAATCGTGCAGGAGGTGGTCAACGGTGAGGTAGTCTCATCCCAAATCCAGGAAACTGAAGAACAAATATAAAATCCTACAAGATCAGCCCATGCTTCCTTAGGAAGAAGAAATTTACCACTTTCACAGTAAAACACTAGCCTAGTTTAATCTCTGCTATGACCTGTTTAATTTTCTATGAGTTCCCACATCTACTGAGTCTCTTTTGCCCTTCTGAAACAATATTCCTTTACAAGTTCCTGTGTTCGCACTGGACTTCATTACAAACCAACATCACCTGCCATCTTTCTGGCCCAGGAATTGTCTTTCAGTAAACTTTCTTCTGATCACCTGGTCCATTTTAAGAAAAACACAGGAGCTTTGCTGAAGTAGTATTGTTCATAGAGCTAGCTTCAATAAAGATTGATAGCAATAACATGGGGAGCATGTTTGCTTGATTTTCACAATAATATCAAGCTCCAGTATCAAATGTTAATGATTACCTACAGCCAAACACAGCACCAAGATGTTGAAGTTGGAGATTAAGTTTAAGAAGATTCTTCTGGAAGTTCTGTCCTGTTTACATCAACCCATTTGGATTGTCAATTTATATTGTCCACTAAAGGGGACAACAGTTACCCTGTTCACTTCCTAACATCTTTCATACAGTTAAGAAAATGCTTTTTTGAGTGCTTACAGCATGCCCAATTGGAGATTCAGTGATGATTAAGACAGTCTTTACCTTGAAGTGTTCAGAGGTGACCAGAAAACAGTGACCCAGTGAGAGAGGTCTCCCAAAAGTTGGAAGGAGATATGGAGAAAGAAGTGGTCAGTTTGTGAGGGAGGAATTAAAATG